CTCTCCACGATGTCTGGCGTGTCGCACTTTCTGATGGCCGCCGCGACCTCGTGAACGTTCGCCTCCCGATCAAAACCCGCTCGGTCCAAACGTACGCTCTCGGCAATCCGACATTTATTCATCCATTTCAAACTTATATATTTATGTGTACACATCACGAGCGAGTGCATCAGTCCCACGGAACTGCAGTGGGGCGAGTTCCGTTGAGTGTCGCCTTGCAACTACACTGCCACTGTCTCTCCCCCAAACGAGGCTCACGCGACTTCTCAGGGAAACACCGCCACTCACCACCTCTCAGCCCCAACGAACACACAGGCACGCGCCAGCGATGATGCAGTATGGGCTGGCGGAGTGAGCGAAGCGATTGAATCATCAGCTGCGGCGTGAATGTCCCCGGTGCAGAGTGGACTGGAATAGAATTTGTGCGTGGCGCAGCTGTGGCGATAACGCCGCTTCGCCGACATGGAGGGGCGAGAGCGCACGATCACGTGCAGGAGCAATCGGGCGGAGAGGCAAACACCTCTAAAACTGACGCCCAAGCCTCGTGAATTCTTACTCTTGGGTGCAACTGGGTGCCGGCTGGGCGGCGTCATGCCCGCCGGCTTTTAGAGCACAGCCTTGTATATACGTGCCAGGAGCTTGGACGCATACAAGGCTGGAGTCTCGTGTGGAGCATGCGGCAACCACTTGCTGGATGTGTATGCGGAGGGCCACCTTGCCTAGTCATACGAAGGCCGAGAGCTGGAAACACATGCGGCCAAATGTCATGTCAGCTCTCGCCCAGGCCGGCTGTATGCTTAGTGTTCAGGTTCCTGGTCGTGCTTCAGGTCCGGCAGTCTCTTCTTCCAAATGCACTGCGCTGCGCTCCCTTCCTCTCGCCTTCCCTTGCCTCGTACCCTCCATCTCTTCACCCATCTTCCTCAACCTTCCGTCATGCATTATTCACTCTCTTCCTCCTCCTACTCCTCTTCCGCGTTCTCCTTCGTCTCTCCTCGCGCTTTCCTTCTCTTCCTCAATTTCTCTCCCCCTCCCCTTGTTCTCATCCTTCTTCTCCTTCCCCCCCCTTACCCCCAACTGCGCAGCGGGAGAGGACAGGGCAGCAGCTCCACTTTATCCTCCCATGCTCTTGCTCCTGTGCCTTCTCCCTCTCTTCCTCCTCCTTGTCCTCTTTTTCTGAGCATCCTGCTCCCGTCAACGGACACAGCGGGCACCGTGCAGAGCGGCGCGCGGGCGTACTCTGGAGGAAATGGCACCCGTGCGACAGAACATCCTAAACAGCTTTACGCATTTACGATGGAGGCCACGATGGGGGGAATGGGATCAGGATATGGGGTAGAAGGGGAGGGGTACATATACAGGAATACAGGGGGAAGGGTAACATGGATAGGGAGAAAGGTAGAAGGGGTAGGGATCGGGACCGCAGTAGGAGGCCACGGGAAACACCGCCGCCCGACCGATTCTGGATCTGACAGCGCACCTGCTAGGTAAATGTATGATCGCGGGCTCCGGGGTCCTCGGGCCCCCGCCCCCCCCCCAGATGGGATGGGTCCCAGGGTCCTCAGGCCCCCCCCCCCCAGATGGGATGGAGGGGAGGAGGAGGAGGAGGAGGAGGAGGAGGAGGAGGAGGAGGAGGAGGAGGAGGAGGAGGAGGCGGAGGAGGACGACGACGACGGCAATGACGACGACGACGACGACGACGACGACGACGACGACGACGACGACGACGACGACGACGACGACGACGACGACGACGACACCGACAACGACGACGACGACAACGACGACGACAACAACGACGACGACGTCGACGGCACCACCAGCGGCGGCGGCGACGACGTCGAGCACCGGAGCTGTCAACATGACGCCAATCCCAGCCACACGCCGCACCCACACCGCCCCCACAGGGGGGGAGGGAGGGGGGGAGGAGGACCATGGCGTCACCCCGCACACACCCACAGCAACGCACCACACCCACACCACATCCACAGGAGGGGGGGGAGCCACCACGCCACGCCCACGCCCACAGGGGGGGCGGCAGCATCGCGCGGGGGGGTGGGGGCGATGGCATTAGCATTGGGGGGGGGTGCCCAAACCCTCGACTATTTATATATATATATATATATATACATTCCTATATAATCTGACACCAGGAAATTCTGACGCCCCCCCCCAATGGATCCCGGAGGCCCCTCCCGCCTCCTTATTTATCGAGCTTCGGGGCTCAAAAAGAACGTTTAGCTTGAGACATCCTCTGAAAACTGCCCAGGACGGCCCTAGAAGCGCCTCAGACGGCCCAAGACAGGCTCAAGACGGCCCAAGAGGGCTCCAAGAGAGCCCAAAACCGCCCAAGATGGCCCAGGAGGCCCCCAAGAGGCCCCCAAGAGGCGCCCAAGGGGCGCCCCAAGAGGGCCCCAAGAGGCCGAAATCATAGATTTCCCAAAAAGGAAAATGTATATTTTCAGCATATGCGCTTTGTCGGCTTTCACGGCGTTGAAGACGGCCCAAGAGGCCCACAAAACCGCCCCAAGACGGCCCAAGAGGCTCCCAAGAGGCTTCCAAAACGGCCCAAGAGGGCCCCAAGACGGCCCAAGAGGCGCTGAAGACGGCCCGAGAGGGCGCCAAGACGGCCCCAAGAGGGGGACCACGAACCGAAAACCTTAGCCTTTCGCCCCAAGAAGCTCCCAGAAGGCCCCCAGAGCCCCCCAGAAGCCCCAAGAGGCCCCCAAGAGGCGTCCCAAGAGGCCACCGGGAGGCGAAAATCATTGACTTCCTATGGGAAAAGGTACATTTTTAGCATACAAGGCTTTTCGGCTTTCACTGCGTTGAAGACGCTCCAAGAGGCCCCCAAGACCGCCCCAAGACGGCCCAAGAGGCTCCCAAGAGGCCCCCAAAACGGCCCAGGAGGGCGCCAAGACGGCCCAAGAGGCGCCCAAAACGGCCCAAGAGGGCCCCAAGACGGCCCCAAGAGGGGGACCACGAACCGAAAAGTCTAGCCTTTCGCCCCAAGAAGCTCCCAGGAGGCCCCCAAAGCCCCCCAAAAAGCCCCAAGAGGCCCCCAAGAGGTTCCCAAGAGGCCTCCAAAAGGGCCCGACAAGGGCCCCAATAGGACTCCCAAGAAGGCCCAGAGACGCCAAATAGAGAGCGATCGGTAACGCAAAAAGCTCTTCACACCAAGGCTTCCAAGAGCGAACGGTGACGTAAACAAGCTGATAAGACCAAGGCTCTCAGCAGAGAGCGGTGACGTACCAAGTTCCTGACACCAAGGCCCAGCCAAGGCTCAGGAACGGGCGGCAGCGCAACAATCTCTGAACACCAAGGCTCCCAAGAGCGATGGGTTGACGTAACAAGCTCTCAACGCCAAAGCTCCCAATACGAACGGTGGTGTGAGTAATTTCGGTTTCTGTTTCTGAAACGCTCTTTCCGCTTCTGTGCCAGGCCAGGTAACGGAAAGAGCGAGGTACGAGTGATGACGTTCTGGTGTGGGCGAAGCCCTGAAGGGAGGGGTTCCAGGGGAGGGGGGTAGCGTGCGCATTTGAATGTTAATGGCAATTTTCGGGGTTTCCCTCCGGTTTTTCCATGTGTTTTCGGGTTCCCCCCCAAGACGGCCCAAGAGCGCTCGAAGAGAGCCCAAGACCGCCCAAGACGGCCCAAGAGGGAGCCCTCAGCAGAAGCATCACTGGCAGCAGGAAGGTAACGGTCCCGAGCTCGAAGGCGGTCACGCTCACGGTAGTCAGGAGCACCGTGAGACTCGCGAGGATCACGCAGCCGAGACGACGGCGAAGAGGCACGCGGGGAATAAGACGCAGATCGTGATGATGCCGTAGGAGCACGCCGTTCCTCCTTCGCCTTGCGAGACTTCCTGCCATGGCGATCGCCGCCCATGAGCACCTGAAATCAACTAGAGCGGAGAGAAAGCTCGGTGGCAGGAGCCCGTCCCTGCCAGTGCAGGCTCGGTAAAATCTGGGGTCTGTCCGCGGCACAGCGGCACCAGAAGACTGGATTGGAGAGTGGCCTCAAAGCGGAACCTCCCTCGCGCTCTGATGTCGCCCCGAAAGACTCGCGGTCGTCGGGACGGTTCATAGCCTTGAGCCAAAATGGCTACGGAGGAGGAGGAGGAGGAGGAGGAGGAGGAGGAGCAAGCGGAGGACGTCCCTTTCCTCTTCCTCCGCCCAGAAGAGGCTCCAACCCCGCCATGCGGCGGTCCAGGTCCCACCGGGGCCGGATCTGCACGCCGACTTGCAGCCGCTCCACCTGCCGCAGTTGGCTGTCGTCGTCGTTGTCGTCGTCATCGTCGCCGTCGATGTCGTCGTGCAAGGTGCCGTCGTCGTCGTCGTCGTCGTCATCGTCGTCGTCGTCATCATCATCATCGTCGTCGTCGAAGGCGTCGTAGCCGAAAGCGTCGCCGTCGTCCAAAATGCCGTCGTCGTCGTCGTCGTCGTCGTCGTCGTCGTCGTCGTCGTCGTCGAAGGTGTCGTCGTCATCATCGTCGAAGAAGTCGTCGTCGTCGAAGGTTCCGCCGTCGACGTCGCGCTCGTAGTCGCCGTTGATGAAATTGTCGTTTTCATCGATCGTCGTCAAAAGTGTTGTCGTCGCGCTCGTCATCGTCCTCGTTATCGTCGTCGTCGTCTTCGTCGTTAGACGGCTCTCGAAGATTTGTGGCGGCTCTCTGATGTTTCCCGAGGTTCTCGAATGGTGCCTCGGACTGTCATCGTCGTTCTCGTCGTCGTCTTCGGTCCCTCAACTCTGGGCGTGTGACAAAATGACGACGGGCATCTTTGCACCGCTTCGGGTGCCAAAACTCTCACGGATCGATTCGGCTTGGAAAATGTACCGCGCAAACGGGGTCGAAACTTCTGGATGTGTTTTTGCTGCGGCGTGTTTTTCACGATGTGTTATCTCGGGGGTGGAGGAGGGAGAAACGATGGTTCAAGGCAGAACGTCTGGCAAGGTGTGGTCCGCTACAATCGATAAGGTCGACCGCGCGATTGCAATATCTGCTGCAATGCTACTGTTCTCTGGAACAAAATCGACTGCACATTGCGAACACCTCGCTTGTCTTGTGTTCGCTGGGCGAACGCTTCTCAGGCTAGCCGCTCCTATGGCGAAAACATGGCAGGCTATGGCATGGGAGCGGCCCCGTACACTGGTTTGGTATGTACCGAGCGTCAAGTGCTGCTTCTCGATCACGTCCATCAGATTCGCAACGGTGCAACTCTAGCAAAAACTAACCGCTAAAACCGACTCTGAATACTCTTTGTCGACTACTCGATGCTTGCCAGCGGAACATTCAGAACGCAGAGAATCGTGAAGGATTGACAGCGGGGTCGTCAGCTCTGTCCCAGGGTAGTGTTGCAGCTCGTAATCTCTGCTACGATGATCTTTTCAAACTATGTAGCGCGTTAAGAATGCAAGCGTGATGTCAAAGCCATATTGGCAAGCTTGGAGGTAGCGTCGTGTGGCGAAGACCGCTGATATCAAATGCATTCATACATCTAGCATGTTAACCAACATGTTATCAAACCAACCGAGCCACAACAGACGGATACATTTTGCTTTGGCAATTGCACTTGCCACTACGTATATATGGCTTTGTTCCCTTCTGCCTGCCAACGGCAAACACATGGAACCTGTGTTTTGGCCGACAGTCTGAGGAAACGGTCGAGGCATATGCAAGATCATGCGATGTATTGCTAACCACTCTGCGTTTGACTCTTGATCAGTTCTGGCAAGTGCCGATGGATATCCTGTGATCAGAGCTATTATCTTACCACTTCCAGTATCCATTAGTTCTATTGCACCGTGGCGCTAACCTTTTTGAAAGCAAGAGTGCCCTGGAGCCGCTAACCCGGTGGCTGGAGAGAGTTCGCTGTTCAGAAGGATTACAGATACCGACTTAGATGCAATGTCCACCGCTGCATCTTACGCGTGAGCTGCTGGAGCGGCAATCTAGGATTTGTGCTGGCAGAGTGCTGGTCAGAACCGTGCGGTGCAACACACTGAGAGAAGAGGCGAAGAAGGCACGTGACATCTTCACCTCATGATAAGAAGCAACGCGCCATCCATGCTGCTGCCGTTGCACGTCCCTCCCCTCCCCTCCCCTCCCCTCCCCTCTGCCCTCCCGCTCTTCCCTCCCCTCTGCTCCAGACCGTGCGCAGGCAACGGCTCTCTCCCGCCTGCTCCGCCCAGTACTTGGTGTCGTCCAGGTCGGGGCAGACGATGGTCGGCCTGGCTGGCAGCCGGGGCCGGGCCCTCACCGAAGAGCTGGAGGGGGCCGCTGGCAGAGGTGGGGCCCCGCCCTGGCCCCTCGCAACTGCGGCCGGCGGAGGGCCCCAGGGCCCAAGGAGGGGCCCTGGGAGCCGAGGCTGGACAAGCGCGTTCCACCACTCGCAAATGGCCCGGATCCGCCGTGGGGGATTTACGATACATGTCTTGAGCAGGGACCGACGGTCCAGGCATTCCTATGGGCCTACCACGACATGTTCTTAGAACCCACAAATGCTCCAATAACAGAAGCAATGTTCTTAGAACATAAACTCGATGTGTTAGAACAAGACAGTCCCAATCAGAAATGTTCTAAGAACACTTCGTGGAATCCACAAAAGGATGCTTCGCCACTGCTTGAATTACATCGAGGAAGACATTTTTTTGCTCGGACGCTTGCGAGGAGGCACTCTGCGAACAGTGGCGTGCGCTCGGTGACAGGTGTAGGTGGGGGGGGGGCGGCTCGCCGACGGGGAAGGCCGGCGGGCAGCCTGAAGGGGCGGGCGGGTGCTGGCGTTGGCAGGTCGGGCGCAGGCAGATCTTTGTCGCCAGAAGTGAGCATCAACTTTCGAAAATCCGCGCGGATTTCGTCGACCGGCGCGGGGCGCCCCAGGTGCGGGGGCCGGACGCGCCGCCTGGGAGATCCAGCACAGATCCAGGAAATCCGCGCGGAATTTTCAACGTTTACCCTTTTGCAGTGTTTCTTCTTCCTCATGTCGCCTAGGCCTGCTCCGCTGGGATTGCTTGCCTCGGAGCCTCGCGGGCGGGCAAACCCTGACAAAGGTGACGATGCGAACCGCGTCGAAACAAACGACGCGCGAACCGCGGTCGAACCGCGGTCGAACCGACACTCGGCAGAACGAAGTGCTAGTATGGGGGGACAGGCGGGACGCACCGAGCGACGCGGAACTCAGGCGATAGGGACTTACGCTGGCGGGTGTGCGGGTGGGGGGCAAGGGATGGGTTGGTGAGGAGGAGGGAGAGGAATGAGGAAAAGAAGGAGGATGAGGATGAACAGAATGAGGAAGACGAAAACAGAAGCACGATATGGATATGATGAGGGTGATGTTGCTAATGATGATATTCAGATCAGAAAAGGTGCTAATTGTGATGAAGGTGACGATGATGATGCTGCTGATGCTGATGCTGCTGCTGCTGTTGCTGATGATGGTGGTGATGACGGTCCACCACCGTGCCTCTGGCACGACGTGGAGTGCCCAAGTTTCATGCATCACTGAGAGCGAAAGGTAGACGCTGTGCTGCTTCTAAAGCGAGAACGGTATGACGATGATGCCAGTTTGTCCAAGAGACAGCTTGTCGAGACACAATACCTCAGCCCTCGAATAGGCCAGACTTCAAACCACTGCTGATCGAAAGACTTTAGGCTCGGGCGTGGCGTAATAGGGCGGCTGAATAGTGGCCGCGGTATATACACTCACGTGCACGCAGTATCACGAAGACGATTCCAATCTTTCCAAGAGGCAAAGTTCCGAAACACAACACCGCAGGCCTCGAAGAGGCCAGACTTCAAACCAATCGCACGGGCATAAATCACCTGTGAGCTGGCCCGAACACAGTCTTCTTAAGCGCACCACTGCAGAATTATGAATTGAATTATCCCAGTGATTGCCTATGTATTCAGCGATGGGCGGAGGAAGCGGCTCCGCCAACTTAGACACTCAAGCTCCACGTATTTTTCCCCTGACGTGGAGATGAGGCTTGCCAGACAATGCGCACAAACCGCGCTTCCAAGAGCAAGTGAACTTCCGTGTGTCTGGCCTCCACAACGTAGGACGAGCAGCCGCGTACGTTGTCTTACTGGCAGCCCGCAGGAACAAACATCTACTCGATGATTCGGCCATGTCAAAATCAGGCGGGCACGCGACGGAGCAAGCCACAGAAGCGAAGTGGCTCGGCTCTCCTCCCCACAAGGAATACCGAGGCCCTACGCCGTCCTCAACAGGAGCCCTCCCTGGTCGACGAGGGCGTTGGCCTCGCGAGTCTGGGCAGCGAGCCGAGGTTCCAGGCGAGGAAGGCCGCGGTAGTGGAGGTTGGATCGCCAGGGTGGAGGCATCTCAGCCGCCCCCCCGTTTTGCCGCGCACGAGGGGTGGTCGCGCACGGCGTCGCCAGCCAAAACCCCCGCGAGCGGCCAGCCTTGGCCCAGCCCATGACCGCCTGGGAGACGCCGGTCCGACGGAGGTCGTGGCGAGGACCCAGCTTTTCTCAAATGAGATAACGCCGTGGCCGCGCATTCTCAGAAAATGGCCAACGGGACCAATTCCCGAGAAGATGTCGAGGAATACTTTGCCGTGCCCGATGAAGGCGTCACGCCTGGCCGACGCCCAGCATCTCGAAAGGATCTGGTCAACGCGTGCTCTCTCCGCCGTGCCGTTGCCGCCGCCTTGGGGTCGGCCCGCTGCGGCACTGGGCCGATGCGAGCGTGCTTCTCGTACCTGGCTAGGCTCGAGAAGGTCTTCCAGCCGCCGCGCTTCATCACCTCCATCATGAGTCGGGCGCAGCTTGCTCGATCCCCCGAAGCGCCCCCATGCCGCAGGTAGTAGGGTGTCAGCTGCGGGCGCCCGAGCCCGAACTGTGCGATCGAGGCCCTCCAGTGCCTCGGGAACGTCGCGTAGTCGCAGCCGAGCGCCAGCTCGCGGGGCCCCCAGCGGCTGGCGATCGCCTCCAGCCATGAGGTGCGCTCCCGTCGAAGTCGCCTGTCTTGCCGGGCCCTGCCGAGCTCGGTGGCCCGGATGAACACCGCCCGCCGACCTTTGGCCCCGGGCAGTCCGACGCCGGCGGGCGGCGCCAGCTGGAAGCTCTGAAGGCTGAGGGCCTCGCTCGGCCGCGCGTGCGTCTCAGCCTCGCCAAGAAGCCCATGTGGTGGCGGCCGAAGTCGCGCAGGTCGAGGGCGATGGCGATCGCGAGCTCCCGAGGCAACGGCGGCCGCGCCCGACCCGGCCCCGCCTTGCGCCGGCCCGCCGCCCCCGCCATGGCGAGGGGGGGCCCCCGCCTCGGAGGCCGCGGGCTGGCGGGCTCTGCCCGCCGAAGGGCGGCCAGCGTCGCTCCGGCAGCATTCTCTGGCGCGCCCACGTCGTGCAGGTACTCCGCGCAGCTCGCCATCAGCGCGCCCCACTCCGCGGCGTCCAGCCTCGGCGCGCGCGCGCGTTGCGCCGGGAGCCAGCGCGGGGGCCGGCCCGCCGCAGATGGTCCAAGTAGTTGGACTGCGTCGCTGGAGACATCGACGCCGCGCCCAGTGAGGTCGACCTGGAGCCGAGCTCAGCTGGCGTCTCGGCTGACTGCGTGGCGCGGCCGACTGGGCTTGATTCCCGTCGGCCCGTTGGTCCGCCGTCGCGCCTGCCGCCGCCGGGCGCCCGCCCAGCGGGCTGGCATCGCCGCGCCGGTGAGGCGCAGCAGCCGACGCGGACTCGGGGGACAGCTGGGGCCCAGGCCCGGCGACGGGCGCGGCCCACCCCGAGAGCTCGTCTCGGCAACCTCCGCGCATCTCGCAGCGACGCGCGCCAGGCTCGCCGCCGACCGGCACTGCCGGTGGCTCGTATCCAGTCTCAACTGGTTCAGCCCGCTCAGTGCCCCGGCATGCCGCGCGCGAACGGGGCCGCGGCCGCGAGCCGCCAGAGGCCCAGAGGATGCGACGCCAAATCGCCTGCAGCTGGCAGAGCACCGGCGTCGCCGGGAGAGGAGGCCGAAGCAGAAGCGGTTGAGCCATGAGGGCTACGGTCGTGGAAAAACTTAGCGTAATGCTCGCTTTCGGGGTCGTAGCGCCGATTAGGGGCATCCGCGGTGTTCCACTCGGAAGCTATGTTGCGGTGCACGAAAAGACATCCAGAGGCGATCGCAAGCGCACAAAGTTCGCGACGCCGGCGAAGAAAAAAACAATGGCTTACGCGGCCCTTCGTGGCAGAACAAATCCAGGCCATGGAATCACTAAGCAACAAATGGCGGTGGTCCCCCAGACGTCTGTCCCGGCTGATCCGCCTTGCACCCGCTGGGCCGCCTCCGCTCCCAGGTTCAGTACCTTCCCCCTCCCCCTCCAGCGACGAGCGGCCATCGCGGCCCACGGGGCACCCTCAGCGAGCCGCCTGGGAACCTCGGGGAGCTCGAACCCGGGACCCAGCCGCCAAGAAGTCCTGGCCCTGGCCCTGGGCGAGGAAGGGGAGTGGCACCTCCTCGCCCTCCATGAAGGGGCCCTGGGACACACAAATAAATACACACAAAAAAAATGATTCCCCCTATCTTCCCCCTATTTTCTGGGCTTCTGCCCTCCCCCCCCACTTCCCACATCTTCGCACATCTTCTGGGGAACCGACGCCTACGTGTGTCTGTGTGCTTTTCTCCCCCCTGACTCCCGTGCGCCCCGCGGCTTAAGGTGGCCTTCCCGAGCCGACCCCCCCTCCTCATGTGGAAGAGTAGAAGAGACGATACAAAAGGAGCAACAATGTGATAGTGCTGCAACTTTTCCTCGCCCCGTGTACTGAATCTCTTTATCTCAAGTGCGTTCACCAACCCACACGTGTGTGCGCCCTCCTGCTAGGGCTTGAGCGCCGGCCTAAACCAGTGAACAACACCTGAGCCGTGAGCGCCGCCGGCCACACAGAGCCCCCCGCGGGAGCGCGCACACCCCCGCCACCGCCACGTGTGGCCCCGGCCCCCTCCTCTCCTGCGGGGGGCTCTCTCGTGCTTTTTGCATATCGGGGCGCCGCGGCGTCCACGCCTCTCCTCCGCCCTGGGAGGGGCACGGCGGAGGCACGGCAGGAGGGATCTGGGCACTCCAGATTTCGTAATAAAGGGAGGGGGGTCTCATTTCGGGGGGGGGTCTCTTCCAGGGTATCTTGGAGGGCCTGGGGGGGTCTGGGGACGATGTTTTGGAGGGTTCTCCCACGGGGGGGGGGGGGTCTGAAATGGCTTGTCTTGGAGGGTCCAGACCCCCTCCCTTTTATTACGACATCTGGAGTACGTCTCGCGTACAGTCGGGGCCTTGACCTAAGGAACCCGAAACGAGGAACGAGGCCCCCTTTTTGCCAGAAGTTCGACTTCGATCTCCGATCGAGAGCATCGGAACACCTGAGGCAAGCTGTGGAACACTTAAGGAACGCGGAGCCCCTCCCCAACGAAAAGGGTTCCTTCTTCAGGGCCCCGACTGTACCTCTCGCGTATTTTCCCTGCGTCCCGGTTCAGAGTTAAGGAAAATTCCAGGCTGGGAGAATGGAGGTCCTGATCTGCTGAAGTTCGACGAAGAAGGAGGAGCTCCCAAATAACGCCCAGGGCCCGGATCTTCTTAAGCAGCATCTGGAGGCCGTACAAGTTGACGATTATTCTTCAGATGTCTGACGGGTGTATTGGCGATGTGTGGGATCGTCCTTGCCCTCTCCCCTCCACTCGGCCCAGACGTCCTCGGTCGTGATTTGTCCACAGCGCCGCTCCCCAAAAGGTTTGGACCCCTCTCCCGGGACCAACTCTTCACCCCGAGCCGCTTTTGGACGGCTCGGGGGCCAGCGAGGGGCGCCAGAGGCCGAACAAAAAGTAGGAACCTGCCGTCCTGCGGTGCGGAAAACATTGCGGCACTGTGAAAAGTCACGACCGCAGCCCCATCCTTCTGCGGCACTTCTCGTCGATCTGAGATGGCCCTGGGGGCCCGAAACTGGGCGAAAACACCTGGTGTGGAAAAATTGCACAGGCCAGGATCTCAGGGATCGTGATTCTATGCGCAACAAAAGGTGCGCCTCCGCTCGGTCGGCCACCCCTCGGGGCGGCGGCGGCGGCGGCGGCGGCGGCGCAAAAGGCCTCCCAGCACGAAGGGACGCGGCGGTGGAACCGCTGCCGCCGTGGTGCAGCGCCGAGCAGCAGCGGGGGAACAGCCACCTGGCGCCCCGCCAAGGGCTCGAGGGACAACGTTAGAGGGAGGACGCGTAGAGGACCAACAAATTGGATTAACGTAAGTTTTCGGAGGTCAGCGCGGATTCTTGGACCCACCTCCCTGACGAGCGCCAGGGGCGGCGCCAGAAGCGCCGCCAGGGGGCTCAGTGCCGATCCGAGACGATATGTTGATATTCCGCACCCATCTGTTTTTCGCGAAAGATACCTCCGAGAGAGCATGATCCAACGCTGCTTTACTCTCCCCCCCCCTCTTCCTCCAGAACCCGGGGTTCCCCCCCCCCTCCGAAAATCCCCCCCCCCCCCCCCCTGCTGGACCCCCCCTTCCCCCCGGCAAAACCTCCCCCTCTCCTAACCCTAAACCCCCCCCTCGGAAAACCGGGTGGGGGGGTCCCTACCGGTTCGAACCCCCTCCCCCCCCCTCCGGAAAACCAGGTGGGTCACCACCGGTTCAAAACCTCTCCCCCCCCAGAAAAAAAGAGGGGTCAGTACCGGTTCGGACCCCTCCCCTCCTCCAGAAAACCTGGGGGGGTCACTACCGGTTCGAACCCCCTCCCCCCCCCCCCCAAAAACCGGGGGGGGGGTCACTACCGTTCGAACCCCCCCCCCTCCGGAAAACCGGGGGGGTCACTACCGTTCGAACCCCCCCCCCAGAAAACCGGGGGGGTCACTACCGTTCGAATCCCCCCCCCCACGCTCACCGCCAGCAAACGACTCCCGGGTCCCTACCACCGTCCGCACCACATCCCCCACTGCTGTCCCCAGCACCACTGTCCTCACCACCACTGTCCCCACTGTTCCCACCACCGCCCCACTGTCCCCACCAGTGCCCCCACCACTGTCGCACTGTCCCCACTGTCCCCACCACTGTTCCCACCACGGTTCCACTCTCCCCACTTTCTCCACGGCCCCAACCACTGTCCCACTGTCGCCCACTGTCCCCACTGTCCGCCGCCGCCGCTGTCCCACTGAGCTGTCCCACTGTTCCCACCACTGTCCCCACTGTCCCCACCACTGTCCCCACTGTACCTCTGTCCCATTGTCCCACCGCCGTCCTCGCCACCGCCCTCACCACTGTCCCCACCACCACTGTACCCTCCACTGTCCCACTGTTTCCACCACATTCCCACTGTCCCCACACCACTGTCCCCACCACCACCGTCCCCACCACTGTCCCACTGTCCCCACTGTTCCCACCATTGTCCCCGCTGTCCCCACCAGTGCCCCCACCAGTGTCTCACTGTCCCCACTCTCCCCAGCATTGTCCCACCACGGTCCCACTCTCCCCACTTTCCCCACGGTCCCCACCACTGTCCCACACTGTACCCACCACTGTCCCACTGTCCCCGCCGCTGTCCCACTGTGCTGTCCCACCGTCCCCACTGTCCCCATCACTGTCCCACTGTCCCCAGTGTCCCCACCACATTCCCCACTGTACTACTGTCCCACCGCTGTCCTCATCACCGCCTTCACCACTGTCCCAACCACTACCGTCGCCACCACTGTACCACTGTCCCTACCACTGTCCCGCTGTCCCCTCACCACTATCCCCACCACCACCGTCCCCACCACTGTCCGCATCACTGTCCCACTGTCCCCGCACCACTGTCCCCACCACCACCGTTCCCACCACTGTCCCAGCATCCCCACCATTGTCCAACTGTCCCGAGGCGCGGGAATCGTCTGCCGGCGGCGACGGGGGGGGAGGGGTTCGAACCGGTAGCGACCCCCCCGGTTTTCGAAGGGGGGGTGGGGGTTCGAACCCGTAGCGACCCCCCCCGGTTTTCGAGGGGGGGGGGTTCGAACCAGTAGTGACCCCCCCCCGCCTTTTCATGATGGACTGGGCGGGGGGGGGTTCGAACCGGTAGTGACTCCCCCCGGTTTTCGAGGGGGGGGGGTCGGGGGCGGGTTGGGAGCCCCCAGCGACCCCCCCAAGTTTTCTGCCAGCAGCGGTAGAACACGCTCTTTCATACCTCCGCCAACTTCCGCCGCTTTCAGCCACAGACAGAAGACTGGTTAACGCCTTCGGCCCTTCGAGGGCGATTTTTTTCGGGAGCGCGCCATTTTGGGAGGCCTGGGCCAAAGGCGCCGCGCCCTCATTGCCAGGGATGAGGACGTTGTTGTCGTCGTCTTTGTTCTCTCTTGCTCCTCGTCGTCCTCCTGCTCCTCTTTGTCCTCGTTCTCCTCCTCGTTCTCCCCCTCGTTATTCTCCTCGTTCTTCTGCTCCTTTTCCTCCTCCTCCTTCTTGTCGTCGACGTCGACCTCGTCTTCCTGTCCTTATTCGATTCCTCCTTCTCGTCGTCGTCCTCCTGCTTATCCTCGTCCTCGCTCTCCTCCTCGTTCTTCTCCTCGTTCTTCCCCTCGTTCTTTTTCTCGTTCTTCTCCTCCTTTTTCTCCTCCTCCTCCTCCTCCTTGTCGTCGACGTCGTCCTCGTCTTCCTTTTCCGCCTCGTTCGCCTCCTCGTTTTACTCGTTGTTCTCCCCGTCGAGATTCTCCTCGTCCTCGCCCAGACTTAACATAACGATGGTAATGATAATTAAACTCGGTTTTTTACAATCAGCGGTTGACGCTAACGTACGAAACCATGTCACACCGACTATTGGCGGTTATGATTGATTGAGCCTAAAGTCACGTGTTGCACCGTGACCTGACATGGCTACATTGAAATACTTCCCCCTCGACCTGATGACCCTGGTAGGTTTAGACACGTGCCACGAGCAAACAACGGAGCATTCAAAACAATACCAACGCTGTACAAAGGCAGGAGGCAGTAAGTGTGACAACGGCATACATTTAATCCGCCGACCCTGTCGGCGTGTGGAAGACGCATCCCGGTGTCGTCGGCTTGCGTGGATCACCGTCGTCGTCATCGTCGTTGTCGTCGTCGTCATCGTCATCGTCGTCGCCCGAAATCAAAATCGAACACGAAACAGAAAGAAATCGTAATCGTGGCGAAGCCCCTCCCTACCCTCCCCACAGGGGGGGGGTCCCGGGGGGGGGTCGCCACCCAGATACGCACCCTCCTCCCGGCCTACTTTTCTGCTTGTTTTGCCCATCCCGAACATGTGGGGGAGTGTCCTCCTCCCCCCTCTTCGGCTCCCTTTCCTCCCTCCTACCTCCCTCCTCCTCGGGAGGGGCCTTCCCTTTGATCCGTTCCTCGCCAGGGAGGGGGGGGGGCGCCACCCTCCCCTCCCCCTCCTCCTCCTCCTCCTCCTCCTCCTCCTCCTACTCCCCTTCCTCTTCCTCCTCCTCCTTCTCCTCTTCCTCCTCCTCCTCCTCCGCCTCTTCCTCTGCCACGTCTTCATTTACCTCCGACGTCTTATCACGCATCCCGTCACCCTCGAGGGCCGAGGTATCCAGGGTCGGCGGCACTGGCCGTAAGGCCTTCGCAATATTCAAACTATATTGCGCGTGCATTGATGAATCGTAGCAGGCGCATCGGTTGCGCAAATCGAACGCAGCTTGGCAACTCAGGTGACTTAGGTTAGGTTAGGGTGAAAACTTTTCGCTGTTCTTATCTGTCACAATTGCCCAGTGCGTTGACGTTGGTAAAGTGGTTCGCAAACTACAGGCGCGACAGACATTGGGGTTTCATGAGGTAGGGGGAAAACTCACTGGTTACTCGTGTTCATTCACTTCGGCCACCTTGAATGCGACCTTGGTCACTTGCATTTGCCCTTGGCAATCTGCGCGAACTCGCGCTCTCGGTTATGATTCCGCTCCATCATCCGACAGCGGTCGTTGTCAATCATGAACTGGTCATTCTCCGTGGCCTTAATCTCCTCATCACTGTCGGCCCATGCTTCCAACTTGCCCTCGACCTGGGCCCTGGGAAATTTCTTCGCTGGCTTGTGGCGCCGTTTAACCTCCCAGCGGCCCGCCAGAAAATGGAGTCAAGATGCTGACGGTTAAGAGCGACCCAATCACGGCCTCCGTTCTGGCGCCTCTCGTCATCGTTCGTGCCCGCGTGCGGGTTCGCAACCCAAATCTGGCTAGTTGCCCGCGCGTGGTAATCCTTCGCGGGCAGCCGCGCCCGCCCAAGGATTCTATCGTCTTCGTGACCGCGCGCCCTAACGTCCGCGCGGGCCCGTTCGCCGGCTCCGCAATGATCGGAAGCGCGGAAATTATTAAGCCGGCGCGTGGCCGCGAAGAGGGTCGCGCGGTACCAGGTTAGAGCCGGCTTCTCCTGGTTAAAGCCAGTGGGCTTTTTGATGGTCGCATCGAAATTGACCGTGCCAGTTTTCTGGCCAGGAATCATGCGTCCCATGTTCCAGTCGTAGTGTCTCCATGGTCGCTATGGACAGTGGAGTCGCTGCATGGAGCCTTCAGGCTGACGATCGTGGGGTCGCTGGGCCACAGCGCGCCAAACCGTGCGTTTATCATGTTGGCGCACTCCCACTCCTGCAGTTCAGGAGCACATTGTAAATGTATACCTGTGTGTTGTCGTGAATGTCCTGGTTGTAATTGGGCCTGGGGAGCTGATGTAGCGCTATTGGTCCTGGGCAACCGTCGTAATCACATGGGAACTGGCTCTGGATTGCAGTTGCCAGATGCGCCCGTTCGTCATGCTCTTCTCGCGTGTAATCGATTAGGGCTCTGCGCCATGCTGGCGGCCCCTCGAGGATATCGTGCGGTGCAGGACTCCGAACATAACCTCGACTGAGTCGTGGTAAGAGTCGCAGTCGTCACTGGTCACGGTATGACTGAATAAATCCTGCAGTCCATGCGTCTCATGGTTGGTCCATCCCCTGAAGTTGTCACCCCACTGCTCTCTCGCCCTCCTGTCCTGCTCGCGCGCGCGCTGGTGGGGCCCCCTGATGTCAAGGTCGTGTTTCGGGTGTTCCTCCAGCAAGGTGTGATGGAGGTGTCCCAGCGTTCTGGCCGAAGTCCGGGCTGGCGGTCTCGTTGGAGCGCGTGCGGGCGTTTGTGACGACAGGACTGGGCGGTCTGGGTGGTTCAGGGGCGCCTGATGGCGGAGGCATGCCTGG